AGCATCAGCCAAGCTATCTGCTTCCTGATGGGGAGATAGAAGTTTTCTTTTTTTAAAAGTATTTGAAAGTTTCTCTTCATTATCTTTTACCTTACTAAACTGACCTATGTAAAACCCACGTCTGAAATATCCTTTCTACTTGAAGAGCTGAACAATATTGTCAGTTTTTCTGTCTGAAAAATATTTTTGGTTTGGAATTACTTCAAATTTTTTGTCTCTTTTAAAAAATATCTGTCCAAATTTGTAGTTTTGACAGTACCTTGTGCACTTAAAGGCATCACAAAAAAAGTGACCGTCTCTGTCATTAATTTTTCAGTGGAATAGCCTTGCAGGCTACACAATAACCAGAGGCTTCTCTTTTTGTAATTGCTGCTGAAACCAGGTTTATGTGGGGCCGTAAAGTATTTTATATTCTCAAAATAAAAACTATTAGATTAGAAAGAATATCACTTTTCTAAATTCATTCAAATTCCTTCACATATGCAGAGGTGTCACCATTTAAAGAACATGCATACTTGTCATAATTCCAGCCTGTCTGTAGTTTTCAATGCTGATTTCAGCTGGCTTTCTATTCCTTTGGTCTTTGGTATTTCATATGAGTAGTTTTGTCCCAAATGACTTTAACTGATAGATACTTTTCTAAGTAAGAAGATCAAAATCTGTGTCTATTTTGCTTTTAGGGTGAGGAAATACCTCTAACTTTCGCATTTTTTAACTGAAGACTCAAGTCACTATGTGTAGAGAGCTTAGCCACAGAGTGGCTAACAGCAAAGGGACATGATAAAGTGCAGCTGGTTGAAGTTTAGTAAAATAAACTCCAAGTCAAGATAACCTGGGGTGCAACTATTGTAAGATAATGGGATGAGTAAAAAGAACTGAAACACTAAGATAAAGAACTGCTAACCGCAAGGCTAAACACAAAAGATAAACATAAGAGAAGTTGACATGTAATCTGCAACCAATGGTGAGCTTCACTTTTGCAATATGTATGAGCTAATTAAGAACAATATAAAAGATGCCTTCTGATTTTCAATAAATGAGGCTTTCCGATCATTATAGAATGGTGTCTATCTCCCACTTATTCTCCGTCAACTATGCAATAGGGGAAATGTGAAAAATGTATTGGGTAATTTCAGTTCTTTCAATAATTTCATGGGTAATTTATACTTGCTTTGTAAGAGAGGATTTGAATATTACATACTGTTAGAATGTATTTTAAAATAATAATAATTTATTTTTATAAATTCAATGTGTCTAGAAGGTTCAGGGGATGTTACTAATAACAGATCTATTGCATGGCATATGATGCAAATCCAGGTTGCAGATGCAAATCATTACAGTACCCAGAAATGAAAGATTACTTGATTACTTATCTGCTTTGCTATTCTGCATTGTACTAAATTATGTCTAAGTAATACAGAAGTACAAAGTGCCTACCCAGAGATGGTGGTTTAATATTATTATACATACATATAGTCTCAAAATTTGGGGTTCACATTTTGCGTTTAAGGGTTAGGGGTTAAAGCAGGATGCGCAAGACTCTGACATCCGTTTCGCTAGAGAGGTTCAACATCTGCCTGTGCCAGGATGTATCTACCTGTTCCTTTTCATCTTCTCAGGGAATATTGAGCACCCTTGAGCATAGTAAAACACCATAGATTAACCCTGGAGGATGAGACTTTTGTTTGGAAGCAGGAGCTCTGAATTAATTTCTTCTCTTTTTAATTTACAAGCATTGATTTGAATTCTAGGTTATATTTATTGTCCAAAATGAATAAATGCTGGTGAGATAGAGATACAGACTGCAGGTTCACCTGCTTAAAGAGAGTTGTGGGTACTGGCACAACCCTATCCTATTTTTTGTTAGCTACCAGTAAATGCCTCCTTCCTTAGAAATCAAGGGCACTGACTACCCATTGGAGTTCACCTCGTTGTGCTGGCTGTCAGGGGGCTCATAATACTACTGTGTGACACTAGTTTCTTCAGCTTCACAGTCAATATGATACATAATTCAACAAATTTTTTTGATATCTGGTCATCTATAGTCTGATCTTCTGCATGCAAAGGAGCAGTCTTAATCTATAGACTCGTTTTCTGAGTGGGAAATAAATGGGGATACTCACGGCCTGCACTTGGAGCTGCAGATCATTTTTCTCCTTCAGTAAAGAAACCATTTTCTCCTCCAGCTCCTTCCTCTTTGCCTCAGACTTGGCAAGCTCTTCCTTGGTTTTCTCAAACTCCCCCTTCATGTTGGCCATCTCCTTCTCAGACTCTGCACTCTTCAGCAGGGGCTTGATCTTGAAGAACAGCTTCATCCAGGGCCAGTGCTTCACATTCATGAAGGAGCGAACATTGTACTGGATGCAGAAGATGGACTCCCTGAAGCATAATTAAAATGCACATTGGATATTTTCATTTTGAGTGACAACACTTTCCCACAAGTACAATGTCTTTAACATTTTAACTGAAGATGAAGAATGTCTACCTCCTCTCCACCATTCTCTGGTACTCCACTCTCATCAGGTAACCTCTACACATGGCCTGTGTACGGGTGATGAGCTGTGCCAGCTTCTCATCCCTCATCTCTTCCAAGAGACCTATCAGCCCAGCTTTGAAGAACACCTTGAGAAAGGGAGCATTGCCACACATGACTCTCAGGCAGAGTGAAGCCCAGGCACACAGTGAGTGAGTCAAGGAGAGTTTGTACCTTGGTGTGGCCAAATTTGTACTGGGTGTGGTCCACATCAATTGAGCCAAGAAGCTTCTCGGAAGCCTTCTTGCTATCAATGAACTGTCCCTCTGGAATAGCACTGGCATTAAGCACCTTGTATCTGTGAATTGAGAGGAAATATGAATGAAGGCAATCTCAAGTCATAGAGTTAACAGTTTACTGCAATCAGTCTTTGGAACAGAATGATGCTGAGAAAGTTGGATTTTCATCCCTTGTTTAGACATACAGTTATAGTGAAGTCCTAATCTGATACCAAAGTTGTTGAAACTTTTACTGTCTTTAGGTGATCAGTCACAGATGAAAAGAGGACACTGTTCTCCGTCCATTTCAATTGTATATCTTTTTTATTTAAACAGTGCTGTAGGAACATGGCCACTGTGTATAGGAAGAAAACATCTTCCCTGAAACTTGCAGTTGTTACAATTGCTAAAGAACTGTATCTGGGTTTCTAATTTTTATCTGGGAATGTGTTGTAGCCACATCCCAATCTACACTTTTTAATCTTAGAATTACTGGCTTGTGTAAATGTTGTGCTTCCATAATCAGACACTTGTAAAGTTCAGTTGTATGATGAAGAGCAGTCACTGGGAACACCTGACTTATCTCTTCATTTCATAGCTCTTACCTCTGTTTGAAGTCAGCATAGAGGACTCTGCTGGGGAAGCCTTTCCTGCAAATTCTGATGCCTTCCAGCACACCATTGCACCGCAGCTGGTGAAGTACCAGTTCATGCTCCATGGCACCTAGGCAATTCAGAGCACAAAGGAGTACCAGTTTCTAGTGCAGAAGGAGATGGCTGTATGAAAGCAAGTGCTTTTTCTGCTTGAGGTTCTTACCAGGTGTTTTTGTTTCATTTGGGATGATGCAACGGACAAAATGGGGGTGAGTGCTGCGTAGATTGGTCATCAGCTTGTTTAAGTTCTCCTGTGGGGCCATGAGTTAGTGTGCATTCATATGAAATATGGAAAAACAGACTCTTAGGTTTTTTTAATTTGGCATAAAAGGCCTATCAATGGAGATACACTGAGCTGAAAATGATCAACTTCAATCAATAGCTCTACCCCTCCTGATTCTGAACATTGAACATCACCTTTCAGGATTAAAAAAAAAGTTACCATGAACTCAATGAGAGATAGAGGCTGGGTACTTCACAGCTTTATGAGAAAATTCTTGTTTAAGTATAAGTTTAGCACTTACAGTGTAATTTTTTGTTCTTTACGGGTGTGTTTTTTGGTTTTTTTTTAAGGAGCATCTGAATGAAAATTGTTTGGTTGTTTTGTATTGTAGCTCAGCCAGCTGAAAGTGCAGTTTAATTTGTGTTAACATAGATGAAAATATAAAGTGTTTACTTACCCGGAAAAGAGCTGAGACTGTCTGGAAAGAAGAACCCTTCTTCTTACCACCTTTCTTGCCACCACCACCACCACCGCTAGCCTCTGATAAAGTGAAAATAATTAAACACTTATGAATTAAACTTTGGGGCTCATTCATGATTCTACAATTTTTCAGAACCACTGTGCACCAAACAGAGGGTATTTCAGATAACTGACCTGCCTCTCCTCCAGCAGAGGCAAAGAGTAAGGCCAGTGTCTTCACAGACGATTTCTGATACAACCCAATGACAGTTTCATTCAGGGGGTCTTTGTTCTTCTCCAGCCAGCCAGTGATGTTGTAGTCCACTGTGCCAGCATAGTGTACCAGGGAGAAGTGGGCCTCAGCCTTGCCTTTGCCAGGCTTGGGCTTCTGGAAGTTGTTGGACTTGCCCAGATGCTGGTCATAGAGCTTGTTCTTGAAAGAGGTGTCAGTTGCCTTGGGGAACATGCACTCCTCTTCCAGGATGGAGAAGATGCCCATGGGCTGGAAGAAGCAGCCAAAAACACAGTGATAAAATACAGATCTGCCTACAGAAAGAAACTGTGGTAAGGCATGGATAAAAAAAAAAATGAAAAGCTAAAAAAAGATAGATAAAGATCGAGATAAAAGAAACTAATAGATTCATAGATAAAGAAACTAATGAGAACTCATAGTGTCACGATAATCACAAAAAGTTTTCTAGATAGTATGGAAACTGATGAATTAAAGGTACCTTTTTACTTTTTGCACTAATGCTTTCACAAGGTAAATTTGTATAGATGGTGTCTTACTAAATTTAGTGTTTATTCAACAAATCTTTCAGCTACTTCCTGAAATTTTGTCTTAGAAATCTCTGTTTTTCATTCCTGTACAAGAGCATGTTACAAAAAAAACCAGTGTCAGCTCAAAGTGATGGTTTTATTCATCCCTGTTCATCCAGTACATTTTTTTCTATATACACCTATGATTTTACTTACAAATTGTGTTTCATAAATCACAGAATTAATACTGAAATCGTGAATATAATAGTAAAAACTGTCTGTGTTTCTAAAAAGATATATTTATCTTTGTGGACTGGAAAACACACCTTCAGAGAATCCTTGACACAAAATTATGCGTGATCACATTATTTATTCTTTTGCCAAACAAGCAAAATTACAATTAATTTTAAAAATGCATATTAATGCAGTTAATGCATAACTTAAAGGTACATTGTTTGTAGCCTAATCACAAAAGTCATCAGAAATTATTTTCTGAATGCATACAATATTTGAAAGGAAAAGGTAGTTTTTTGATACAAATATCCAGGAACATAAATGGGTAATAATAGCTAGGTTTTTATCATTAAGGCAAGGTTTAATCATTAGGGCAAGAAATTGGGGCTGAAGAAAAATCCTAGAATTCTGTCATGAAGAAATAACAAAATATTAAATGCAATCAACATACCTTCTCAATGAGCTCAATGCAGGCAGCCAGGTCCATCCCAAAGTCAATGAACTCCCATTCAATTCCTTCCTTCTTGTACTCCTCCTGCTCCAGCACGAACATGTGGTGGTTGAAGAACTGTTGCAGTTTCTCATTGGTGAAGTTGATGCACAGCTGCTCCAGGCTGTTGAACTGCAGTTACAAAGACAAGTTTTGCTCATTCTCAAGTTGGAGAACTGCCTGTATAGCTTTCGCCTGTGCATTCAGAATCCCATGCAGTCATGCCCAGTTAAAACAAACATTTTTCTTAATGTTAAAACTTCCCATTAACTACTGTTAAAGAGGTTTGGTTTTTTGTTGTTTTTTTTTTTTTGCTGCTGTGTACCTGAATGATGTTTATATATATAAATTATTTTATTTTACAGCACTCTTTTCTCTCATATTATCTCCATCATCCCATCTTCTTAACAAAACAAAAAAAAATAAGACACCGTCAGTGTTTGCCAGTACTGGCTTGGATTTGGGTACCTCCTCCAAATGTCCACTGAACTTCTCTATCTGCAGTAAAGGCAATCAATGCGTTCTTGCTGTGGAATCACTCTTTGGCACTTCAAAAGCAAAAGACTTGCACTTTTGTCCCAAAGCCTTGGCATAATTTTGTGTGGGACTTAAGTCTACCTTTCTCTTCCTATACTTGATGATATTGTATATTTGGTACTTTTTTGTACTTTATATTTGGTACTATTTTGTGCTATTTGTCAGTGTATTTTTTCAATACTAAGCTCCAATTATTGAAAACCTACAATATTTGTGCTGATATTGTAAAAGCCACCTGCTTCTTCTGTGTATCACATAAAGCTATTACATGCAGATCCATTGAAGCTCATTGATTGTGATGGAGAAAAAAATGGCGTGTACAAAGAAGGAAAGTATTTCTATAAAATAAAATATACACTCTCTAAAAAAATTGATTTGAGGTTGGCAATGAATGCAATGCTTTTTTAAAAAAAAATCCACCATAGTTCTCCACCTTCTCTTGAGCCCTAACTGACCCCTCAAGATTTTACTGTCATTTCTGTGGTACTTGCATCAAAGATCTCAAAGCCAGCAATGTCCAGGACACCAATGAAGTACTGTCTGGGCTGCTTGGTATCCAGCTGTTGGTTGATGCGAACAACCATCCACAGGAACATCTTCTCATAGACAGCCTTTGCCAAGGCACCCACTGAATTGTTCACCTATACCAAAGAAGAACAGAGAAGAAGAAAAACTGTATCTGGCGCAAATAGTAAGTGATAGAAGCTGGAGGTTACAAATCACCAACTGTCTGTTACCTGCTGCACGGTTTGACCCTTGGTCACATATTAATTCTCAACTTTGCCTCGGGGGAAGCAAAGGGCCTTGAGCAGATCTGCTGAGTTCAGACCCATCAGATAGGCAGCCTTGTCAGCAACTATACACAAAGAGATGGAGACAGTGACAGAGGAGAAGTGATCAGTGAAAGTGAATGTCCTCTAAGATGTAGCTGTAGGTTTTAGCACTGCAATCTTGTGATAGCTTGAAGGAACAGTTAGAAGAATAAGTAGTATGCAAGATAGGACTTATGTCTTTATGAAAGTAAATTGGAGCCAGCTATGTAACTTTCTGTTATTAGGAGTTCTAGATTTTGTTAATACCTTCTGTGCCATCCGGCTCCGCCTGCTCCTCACGCTGCTTCTGCTTGAACTTCAGGTTCCCATAGTGCATGACAGCCCCTGTCAGCTTGTAGATGGCAGTTTTCTCATCAGGAGCGAAGCCCAGGATGTCAATGGCACTCTAACAACAGAATGAGTCAAATAAGCCTCTGAGCCATGAAATGGAACTTTTGCCATATCAATATGCTCTGTGTCACTTACGTCTGTAGCCATCAGCTCCTCCTGGTCATTTATGCTGGCAACAGTGATCTCCCCTTGACTCACAAATTGGTAGTCATATGGGTTGGTGGTAATGAGAAGCATGTCTGTAAAGAGCAATAGGACATATCTAGGTGTAGAGAATTAAGGTAAATATTAAACATTCAGATTCCATCAAACAATTTGTAAGACTTCTTACCAATTAGCTCTGGCTTCTTGTTGGACATGATCTGATAAAATATGTGGTAGCTTCTTTCTGCCTTGAGCTGGAAAGTGACTCTGGATTTCTCCAGCAGATCTGGCAAGGAAGGTAAGACAGAGTTAGGCCTGAGAAAATACACTGAGTTGGAAAGTGAGGAAGAAATGTGATGAGGTCAGAAGATCTCTTACATGTTTCAATGTCAGCAGAAGCCAATTTGCCTGTGGCACCAAAGTGGATTCGAATGAATTTACCCTTTAGAGAAGAAATAAAAAAGAAATTTTGGAATTTTGTTAAGACTTTAAGCATGTAACCTTTTATTTTCCATATTGGACAGATTTTAAACATAGAAGTTGTTTCAATTTTTTTTTTCTTATTTTTCTTTAAAAAGCAAAACAGAATACCAAAAAAAAAAAAAAAGCAAACCAGGAAACTCTCTACACTGGCAATACTAAGGCAAAGATCTGAGCTGAGTTCTTACTTAGTAAGAATAACCCTGAATGCACAGGAATGAGAAAACCACTAAGCAAGCATTCTGTTAGGTCATTTACACATCAGTTCAAACAGATGGATATAGAGATGCAGTCAATTTTTCGGTCAGATATGGTGCTCTGAAGGTGGATTTTGACAGTGTAAATATCAAATGAGGGTTTCTTTATCTTATGTTAAAACAGAAGGCTGCTGTAATTTTCTGGGTTGTAGATATAGGGACAATGCACCCAGGACATAGAACTTGAGGTATTGTGATTTCTCAAAGTTATTCACAGGTAATCTAATAAAATTTATGAATGGCTTGTGCAATAAAAGGACATGTCATAGAATAATTTAAGTTTTTTGTAGGATGTCTTGCAGACATCTTTTTTCCTATTCTTTCCCTGACAGCCTCTATTAAGATCTGAACAGTTAGATTAATAGACCCACCCAGTTTTGTGTCTAAAAACCCAGAGATTCCTATTTTTCCTGATCTGATGCAAGCAATTTCGATTTTGTCTATCTGTCTTTCCCTCCCTCCCTTCCTTCTGCATTATATGAATTTACAAAAATTTATGTCTACAGTCTGTATGACAGGTATCACAAGTATGTATAAACATATATTTGTAATTATTAAATAATATAGAAATTTATATATATTTAAATGATCCTCCTTTGTAAATATTTTTGATGTACTATATTTTTATTTATATTGTAAATTAGAGAGTCTAGGTTTTTTGACAAAAGAAATGAGGAAAATATTGTTAGTTCAATGAATATAATCATCCAGCAATGACATTTCAGAAGTTACAGCTTCTATTTAGACATCCTTGTGCGCCTGTAACTTACAAAGCGTGAGGAGTTGTCATTCCTCACGGTCTTGGCATTTCCAAAGGCCTCCAGCAGTGGGTTGGCGCTGATGATTTGATCCTCAAGTGTTCCCTGCAGGACAATAATTATTGCTGCTTACCCTTTCCAAAGATCATGTCACTAACAGTAGAGAGCACTGATTCAAGCCAGCACCTATTAATTTACCTGCATTTTGCCCGACTGCTCTTCCTTCTTCTTCTCCCCACTGGCTGCAATTGTTGCAAAGTACTGGATGACACGCTTTGTGTTCACAGTCTTCCCTGCGCCGGATTCTCCGCTGCCAAAGCAAAGAGAGAAGCAGAGAGTGGTGGTCAGGCAGAAGGTCCCCTGGCACCGGGCAGCCCCGCAGGGACACGAGTAGGGAGTGTACATACGTGATCAGGATAGACTGGTTCTCGCGATCTGTGGAAAAGGCAGAAACAAATAAACTTTGTAAATTAAAAAAAACACAATAAAAACCCCTTGAAAATTAATGCAATAGATGAAAGTTATGACAACAAGAATTACGCATTTTTTCCTTTGTTCACTCCTAAGTTTGTTCGTTTGTTTTTAATTTCAATTACTTGCAATGAGATTTGTGCCACATGCTTACCTCTAAACATACCCACAAAACAGAAGCTTCTACATTTCTGAGATATTAATTTGATGGTAGGGCTGTTAGATGAGAAGGAATTGTTTCTGGTTTTGTTGCCAAACAGACTCTATTGACAGAAATAGTAGAGAAAGGGGGAGTAGGGATCCCTGACAAAAGAATCCTGAGCATGGGGTATAGTTCCAAACACAACAACAAAGAGAGCAAAAGGAATAAAAAAGTAGAATCAAAACTTGCAGCAATATATAATTCTATTTCATTTTTTCCTGTCATGGTTTTATCAAGACAAATCTGAACGTTTGAGATACTGATTTTTCCTGTAGCCCTTTGGTGAATTATCGTCACATTGTTGGCCAGGATTTTCACATCACATATGGATCTCATACCCTGTTCACTTTCTCTCTTTCATTACAGACATAATTCTATTCCTTGCTTCACCTAGTCCATTTGGCTTATCATTTTGACCTGACACAATAACTCTCTCTGGTACTCTTTTTCCATTTTAGAAATAGGGATGTGAAAAAAAAATCTGTTTAAATTAGCAGTGATTAATGACTGAAATAAAACTCTAATGACGTGTTAAGAAAATACCAGCATATTTAGCAGGAAAACTCTGTGATTACTTTTACAATGTCTTTGAGATGGAATCACTCACCAGTCAGCATGAACTGATAGGCGTTGTCAGAGATGGAGAAGATGTGTGGAGGGGCCTCCTGGCGCTTCTTGCCTCGGTAGGCCAACACCACCTCCGGGTTGTACACCGGCAGCCACTTGTAGGGGTTGACGGTGACACAGAAGAGACCCGAGTAGGGCTGAGAGGAAGGGAGACAGCACGTTGGCTTCCACTTAGCCAGGCAGAGCAGTTCCCCCAGCCAGCCAAAGGCAGGCTGCTGCTGGTACTTACGTAGATCATCCAGGCTGCATAACGCTCTTTGAGGTTGTACAGCACAGCGGGTTCATGGAGGTGGGTCATCATGGCCATGTCCTCGATTTTGTCATACTTGGGAGGGTTCATGGAGAAGACTTGATCTTCCTTCACAGTCAGGGTCTATCAGGGGAAAGAAAGGTACATGGATGTCAGCTAAGAGCTCAGAGTGGAAATTAAATGCTGTTTGTAAATCTTGTTTTTCACTCACTTCTCCCCCTTCAGTCTTGACAGTGACCTTCCCTGATTCTTTGTTCTGGATTGTCCCTTTCACAAAGGATTCTTTAGGATGCACGACAAAGACAGATGACTTGGCATCAAAAGGCTTGTTCTGGGCCTCGATTCTCTCCTTCTCTGACTTTCGGAGGTAAGGAGCAGCCGCCCCAAAGATGGCCATCTCGGCGTCTGTTGACATGGCTGCACCTTACGGAGGGGCTCACCAGCAGAGAACACTGTGGAAGAGCAAATATTTTCCCAAATTAGTCAATATTTTCTGTTGTCATGCAATTTATTGAAAATCTTAAGTAGCACCATGGAATGTGTGATTTAGGAGGAATCTCAGCTAGTTCTTTTGTTCATCTTCCTGTGCAAAGAAGAACGCATGTTGGATCAAGTTACTCAGAGACTTTTCCAGTGAAGTTTTGGTTATTTCCATGAATGGAGATTCCTCCATCCCTCTGCATCTCTGTTTAATGTTTGACCAACCTGATGGTGAATTTTCTTTTCCTAATACCTGATCAAAATTTTTGTTGCTGCAACACGCATCTGTTGTCCTCATCCTTTCCATCTGCATGTCTAAGAAGAGTCTGGCTCTTTGTACTGTATAACTACATACTTTTTGTTGAAGATAGCAGTAAGTCAATTACATTTTAGTTGCCTACAGATTGGACAAACTCTACCCTTTCAGTCTCTCCATATGCATCATTTGCCCTATCTATGTTGGAAGTTCTCCACCAGACTCAGTCCAGAATGTCAATGTCTTTCTTGTCACCAGGGAGCATTGAACACAGTGCTCCAGATGTGGAAGTTGAATGCAGGGGAAGAATAACTTCACTTTACCTTCTAGTTTTCCTGTTATGAGCGCTTGAAAATGTGCTCTTTGCCTTCATTCTCCCGTAGGCGCACTGCTGATGTGCACCAAGATATGTGACACATTTCTGCAAAGATGTTTTCTAGACATGAGACAGCCAGCATAACCTGTTGTATGGGGCTATTCTTTCCTACATACAGGACTTTGCACTGCCTTTACTAAAATTTGTGAAGTTCTTGTCAGTTCTAGTCTGATGACTTTTGGGAGCATTCTTAAGGTTAACATTGCTCTGTAACATATTCATGAGTCACTCGTTTTGATCTCATCTGCCCAGTTCCTGAGGATGTATTCCATCCATCATTTGGGTTGCTAATTGGTGATGATAAATATCATGATCCTACCACTGATGTTTCTAACACTGACATTTTCAATAATGTGATTCGAATTTTGAAAAGTGCCAAAAGAAAGATTTGTGTATCATTTTACATTTCTAGTCATATACTTATTGGAAAATTGACTAAGTTACTCATGCCTAGTCAAGCTGATCAGGGCAGCTTCCACATTCTTTTCCTGTTCTGTGTCTAGGGCTCCCAAACCCTCCTCAAAAAGTAATTCTCTCTAGTTAGATTGATAGGCCTCAGGAGACTGGGGATTTCACCATGAAAAAATTAAATTAATGTATTTATAAAGTAATGTTGCAAAGCTGCTGTGATCCAGTGCAACATCAATGATGAATTTACAATTTTTTGAGCTTAAAGCTTTAAAAGCATGCTGTAAATACTTTGCGTCCTTCTGCAAGTAAACATTAAGCAGTGGGTTCCAGAGCAGAACTGATGCATCGCAGTGAGGCACCATGCCAGAAGAAAAGGATAGTCACAGCATCTACCTAGAATTAGCAAACAAAAAAGCCATTAAAAGTCTTGGTTGCCTATACACAAAATAGAGAGGTGAGTCCAGAAGATATTCTGAGTACTACCTAATGCGTGTTGTCTTTTACTGGTTCTCTGAGTCATTCACTAGAATGGTTTGCTTCTCATTAAAAACTGTTTAAGCAGCTCAGCATCGTAACATCAGTCTCTGAAATAAGGTGTGCACCTGCTCTCTCTGTGTCTGTCAAAGCAAAGTTTTAGGGCCAGAAACCCCAAGTACAGATTCTAACCAAGGACCACCTTTCCAGCAATTGCCATCCTGCTTGTCCTCCTTCCACCTTGATGGCTTCACAATGACACACCTCTTTCAGCAGACGTGATGAAGAATGCCTTTCAGCCTTGTGGCAGGGTCAATCATCTAAATCATGTGCGGGACAAATCAAACACCCTCAGGCTAAAAGAATCTCAGATTCCATCATCCTCATTTTTTAAACATACATTTTAATTATAAAGAGGGATTAGATGTGTACAACAGCTTTCTTACTGTTTACATAATCTGCAAATGTTAGCTGTGCTATGAGATGTACTAGTCAGTGCTATCTGGGCCCCCTTTGCTTACCAAATTGTGTCCTTTAGGTGTCTTAGATATACAAAGAAATTTGTATATCTAAGATATCTAAACAGAGAGATATACCCAGGTCTAAATTAGAAATATTTGTGGACAGGGTCAATAAAACAATTTAAATTATCTATGAAAGTCATACTGGAAATTTTAGAGGTATGTTCTGTTAGAAGGAAATAATATTTTATTTTTCCCCCATGCTCTATTTTCCAAATGTGTGAGTGATAGTTTACTTCTTATTTGACATCATGCCTTATTTTTAATGTGACTCTCACACTAAGTCAACTACACTGATACTTCCCTGACAATGAAAAAAATCTGTTGCAAGTGACTTCACTCTGGAAGTAGTATGTGAGCAAGGAGTACTTAAGGAGAGATAATACAGTAAGTTAGAATAATGCCTCAACAATTATTTATTTGTATGCAATTTTTTTTTTTTTGTGAAAATAATTATGTGTGAAGTTAGAAACCTTAGTTCTACAATTTACAAATCAAACTGGATATGTAAATGCAGTACTGGATCTCCAAGGAAATATCACACACCCAGTTATAGAAAGCACTTCAGCTCTTAGGAAGTCAGACAAATAGTAAACTTATTTAGATGACTTTTAGTTACGTAAATAAGCCAACCAAATGTTAACATTTGCAAGAATTCCTAGTAGCATACAGATCACCATTTCACTGTTTTATTTCAGAAGAATAAGACCAGTATATGTTTTTCTTTTTTTGTTTATTTAGTTTATTAGTTGTTTTTTGCATTTTACCAAGTTTCCTAGTGTGAGGCCCACATGCAGATTATAACCATGTAGTATCATCTGAAAAATATTTTCATATAAATTTTTGGCAAATATCGTATTTGGTAATACATATTATTTGTTACAAACCCTCAACATTTTACAATAGTCTGTTCTGTTGGCTGGCTCTATCTATCTGGACTTCATGCCAGAAGAGATCATTTACTTCACTGGTCCATAATTAAACATGAGGCATCCTCAAGAAGCATTTCCTGACATGACATTGGTGGCTAGTGGCTTCAAGCAGAGCCACTTTGGAAAGCTTGCTTGCCATGGGCATCCTACCCAGCCATCATCATGCTGCATTTACCATAACAGAGTGGTTGCCAGGAATATATAGACATACAGCAATTTCACACAAAATTTTAGAGAAATTTGTCACTACAAAGAAATCTGTTCTACAGAAATCTGCTACCTTTTTGTTTGTCTCTTGAATGTGAGTGAATTAGGCTCTTACCTCTTACAATGTGAGAAGATGCGTTGCAGACTGGAAGACAATCAGTGCTATAAAGCAGAAATAGCAGATCCTCATTACTGCTGCACAGAATTCCATAGCCAGGTCACAAAGTGAAAATACCAACATGCTTTATCTTACAGACATTAAAACCTTGCAGACACAGATATGTACACCAGGACAGCACAGCTGAAGTGGGACATGTGGATTGCAGGGACTCTGTCCCTTTCTGCCAGCCACAGACATGCACTTACCATTAAGTTTTCTCTGGAGACAGGACAGCCCAGATTCAAGAACTCTTTTATAGATTCTGGTCAGCACATGCTGCAGATGCCTCCTCTGTCTTTGGGCAAAGCATTTTGGCAAACCTTGTTTTTGGCAAAGCATTGTCTGGCAAACTGAACGAACTGAAAACTGGGAAGTGATGTTACTAGATATAATTAGAAATTTTTGGTCTCTCACTAGCTATGTGAATGAAATCTCCTATAAATAATATGAGAAGATTCCTAAGGAGGGAATATCCACTAATGCTGACCAGAGGGATGGGGGTAACTGCTAATAACTGTAGGCCATAGGTGCTCCATGAATCTAAGTTAAGGGAGAAGGGACAATCATTCACCGGGCAAGCATGGTGACATATGGGTGCATACCATAACTTTTTCTGAGGCCACCATACGTCTGGTGACAGCTGTCCTTTTACAGAGCTCTCTACTTACAGCCCTGGATAGGAGATGTGGATTTTACTGTTCTCTGCACTGTTTATCTCTATCAGGTTATAATTACTCTGCTTCAGTTCTTTCATTTGCAACATAATATAGCACAACGTATCAGGGAGAATAACTGCCTTAAACCATACTGAGTGTTCTTTAAGTTGTATTCCATTTCTATTCCACTATTTTGCACTTAGCAACTTTTTTTTTTTCTTTTCCCCAGTGGAAGTATCACAAATTTCTGTCACAGAAATTCTCAGTTTACTTTTTCCCACTGCAAATAAGTTTCTGTCATCAAGGACATTCTTGAGATAGCTCAGTATGGTTTTTCAAGGCCAGAAGTATCTTGTTCTTAGCTGACAGATCTCTAGTGGTTAAGACTCAAATATGTGAAACTACAACAACAGGTAATTTATTGTTTGCCTTTATTGAGGCATATGGTCAGGATGGGGTAATAATTCAGGTAAAGAAAATGCCAGGAGGACTGTGTGGATGAGTAAGTGATGTGTCCATGGTAAAACTCAAGACATGAAAAGGCAGCATGCAGAGGCTGGAAGCAAGGACAGGTAACCTGGGAGGGACAGAAATCTATCTGAGCATGCAGGAATAAGGTAAGAAAAGCAAAAGCCCAAATGGAATTGAAGCCCAAAGATGTCAGACAGCAAGGAAGTCTTTTGTAAGTGCATAGATGACAAAAGAAGGACCAAGGAAAATGTGGGAGCATTGCTGAAGGGGTCAGGGACCCCGGTGCTGAATGCTGCTAGCAAGACCTTCAGGAATCCTAGATCCCAGAGAGCAGGGAGAAAGTCTGAAGCAAGGCAGGCACCCTTGGTGGAAGAGGATCAGCTCAAGGAATGTTTAAGCAAATAGGACATCCAAAAGTCCATGGGCCCTGAAGGGATACACTCACAAGTTCTGATGGAGATGGCTGGTGTT